CCGGTGGGATCCCTGTTATGTCAAGATGGGACCAAGCGAAACAATTCATGTTAGCTATAAGAAATTGAATAAGCTTTTTCCTGAGCTCGAGATTTAACCCCATGCCCGGGTATACTTTTCACTCATGTAGATGTTCGATTAGCCTGATTTTCTCCAGTTCTTTGACCGTTGACTGGGTGGCGTCGGAATCATCGGGGACCACAAAAGATTGAGGGACCCCATAGTCATTGTCTTTGTCAGTCTTCTCGTTCTCTAGTTGGGTCGAGGCTGGCACTTATGATTGTTATTTGGTATCCTATTCCTCCTTCGAATCTGATCCCTTTGTCGATGATAGTGAGGATATTAGAATCACTTCATCGACGGAAAACATTTCTTTTGCGGTTGGTTGCTCCCATAGACCATTTTGATTCCCTCTGATGTTGGGAATTTCAGAACCTGGTGAAGGTCGAGGGAACGACTCTCATGTTGTGGATCCATGGCCTCCCGAATAGGGCGTTATATCTCATATCGCCCTAGATTACGTGGAACTTCATTTCTTGGATGATCCCGACCACGTTTACTGGCAAGATTATCTCGCCCTTGGTAGTTTCACATGACATATTAAACTCGTTCAGTACCAGGGTAGCGGGTACGACCTAGTCCTGTAGACCGAGTTGCTCTAAGACCCTTGATCGAATGATGTTGGCCGAACTATTTGGATCAATTAACACAAGCTTAACTTGAGTTTTATTCATAAGTACAGATATTACCAGTGCTTCGTTATGGGGTTGCATGATTACTTACGCGTATTCGTCAATAAAGGACAAGGTTCCTTTAGGTGTGTAATCTTGAGTCCGAGATCGCTTTTCTATTACAATAGACTTCTTAGTGCATTTAAGCACCGATCCCTAGGGGACATCGATCCCTCCGATGATCATGTGGATGATTTGTTGTGGCTCTTCTTGTTCATTTTGTCTATTGTAATCTCTGTTTTTGAAATGTTTTTTGGCCCGGTCACTTAAAATTTTTCAAAGGTGCCCCTCATTGAATAAACGGGCTACTTCCTTTCTCAACTGCCTGCAGTCTTCGGTTCTGTGGCCATGGGTGCCATGATATTTACACATTTGATTGGGATTTCTCTGGGCTGGATTGGACTGCAGAGGTCGAGGCCGCTTAGTATTTTTGATGCGTCCGCTAGATGACACGATAGCAGATGCATCGATGTTGAAGTTATATTCTGATAATCGTGGTGCTTGCTTAGGTCCGATATGCCAGTAGAACCCATTCTTGTTCATCAGCCCCCGAGACCCTTGGCCTCGATCACTTCTCCTTTCTCCTTGTACAAAGTTATGTGTAGGTTCGCTGCCCCTACGATCACCGATATTGGTCCTTGTTCGACCTTGGTTCTCGGCCGATAACGAAACCAGAACCCAACTGGTCGTCTTCAACTCTGATCTTCAATTGATACCAATTGTGTACATCGACCCAAGTAACAGTTGGGTACTCGACCAGGTTCTTCTTCAACCGTCGTGAAGCCATCGAGCTTCGTTTATTTAGACCTTGAGTGAAAGCTTGAACAACCCAATCGTCTGTGACTGGTGGTAGATCCATTCGTTCCATTTGGAAACGAGATACGAATTCTCTTAGCATCTCGTTATCTTTTTGTCTTACCTTGAAAAGATCCGACTTCCTGGTCTCTACCTTTATGGCTCCAGTATGTGCTTTTATGAAAGAATCTGCAAGCATAGCAAAAGAATCGATAGAGTTAGATGGTAAATTATGATACCATATCATTGCTCCCTTTGATAGGGTTTCACCGAATATTTTCAATAATACATATACGATCTCGTCATCTTGTAGATCATTCCCTTTAATGGCACATGTGTAAGAGGTGACTTGTTCGTTGGGGTCAGTCGTTCCATTATATTTAGGAATTTCGGGCATGCGGAACTTCTTGGGGATCGGTTTCGGAGCTTCGCTCGGGAGGAAAGGCTTTTGTACAAATTTTTTGGAATCTAAGCCTTTCAATATTTGTGGTACCCCCGGGATCTGATCAACCCTGGAGTTATACATTTCCACTTTTTTGTCTTTTACTTCAATCCTCCTTTCTCCTGACTCTATTCGTTTTGTCAGTTCCTCGAGCATCTTAACAATTTCGGGATTAGTCCCCGATTCTTGCTAATTTGACCTTACTACAGCTGGCCCCATTCTGTGGGTGACTTCTCGAGGTGGACTGGGCTCGGGCCTGCTCGGTGCGTGGGTGTGGCTCTACAACTGAGCTATCGCTACCTATTGGGCTTGCAACATTTTGAAAATCATACGCAAGCTGATTCCGTTTTCCTCATCGTTTTGGGTATTTCGAGCTGCAGATCGAGTTCCACCATGAATGTTATTTTCAGGGTCGGAACGTTGGTTTGCCTCGATGTCCACATGTGAATTAACATCTATTGGCGCTTCGACCCGAGCTCCAACGGGATCGACGAGTGGCCTTTCATCCCCAGGCGTCAAGTTGTTGTTCTCATCTTGAAGGCCATTTTCGTTGTCGATAGATAGAGGCATTAATTGAGAATCCATCGCTTTCAGCCTGAAATCAAAGACACTTCCAAGAGAAAGTGTAAAATAGTGTGTTTCATAGAGATTCGTACCAAATAACTACTATTATCCTTAGCCCCACGGTGGGCGCCAAACTGTTTACCCGAAAAGCGGATAGAGTTGAATTTATTTGTAGTTCTAAGGATACGTGGTATAACTTGATACAAATTGGAAAAAAATAAGTAGAGTTATATCAAATATTGACTGTAAAAGGGAATTAATACAAACCGAAATTGAGCGGGGAATGATATTTATATGGACAAGATGAACCAATATACAAAGTCCAAAAAGGATAATATTTACTATATGTGTGAATCTCAATAATTTCTGAATATGAGAGTATCAATGTATGCTTCTCTAGATGTTCAATATGTCCATTACAGAAATGATACCCACTCTTAATATAGTTGAAAAATTCTCCTTTAAATATAATAAAAAATACATAGTGGGAATCCCATGATAGATTAGTTAATTAGCTTTTCCTTAATTCCTGCCGAGATTCTCTCCCTTAGTGCCGCTACAACGGCTCTTTGTTTCTTAGCGCGATCTTGGTCGGTCTTGGTATTGGTCGATCTACGGATCCCGAGCTCGATATTGATTCGGGCTCGGTATTGATCGGTCTCTGGTTTCCGAGCTCGATATTGACTCGGGCTCGGTATTGATCGGTTTCTGGTTCTTGAACTCGATAACACTACTTCATATCATAGCTCGATATTGATCGGTGCCTGAATCTTGAGCTCGATAACCTGGCTTTACTTCTTATCTCGATGTTATAATGACGACCCTCGGTTCATCACGTTCCAATCTCGACTCATTACATGAAGGACAAACTCGGATTTGACCGTATACAGATATAAAACTGAAGTTTCCTTTTGCTAGAAAGTAGATGATTCTAGGATTTTAATATATTTCGGTGGCTTGAGCTCTTCAATAACAATGTTATTTTGTCTTTGACCCAACCTACTGAAGAGATAAGGAAAACATTTCAAAATTCGAAGAGTACTAAAAAGTATTTGATTAATGTATATACATAAGGTATTGGTAAAAGGTATAGCTTTCACGTGAACACGTCACTTACCCTCTAGATCCCGCCCCTAGGTTTTGCTAAATCTTAAGATTGAGATATCTATTGCCGTGTAACGTAATTGAGATTCTTACTTTTTATTTGAATTTAAAGTTGAAGCGTAAACATCAAAGCTTTCATTGGCATGAGCTTGAATTCTTACTCGTGCTTCTGGGGATGATATATTCCAAACTGTAGCAAGATTAGACCAAAGCTTGTTTCAACATCAATAACTCTGGGGTCCATGATAATATTAACTACTTTGAACACAGGAGTTGAAAACCAAAAGAGACATTTTATGCTGCAATACAAAATATTCTCTCCTTGGTTCTGGATTTCGAGAATGGGTAATGTTTTAAGGTCATAGTGATCTCAGCTTGATATTAACTTTTTGTTTTGTTTTCCAAGAGAGATCATATTTTATTAGGATTTGATCCCCTCTTCAAGCAAACGGAAGATGAGGCTGATGGAGAGGAATAGGTTTATTTAATGAATCCTACTAGCTTCCTAGCGGCTAGAGTCTAAGTTTGCCATTGAAATAGTACCAAGTTTAGATAAATATTCATTGAATAGTATTGTACCAATATCAAATAAATATCCAATCAACTTACTCCATACACGTTCTCCATGTGCTTTACTCCATTTCAACTAAGAAGTATCTTTGTCAATAATTTCAAGTTGCAATTTGCATTTGAGACCACAAAATCTTTGGCATGGATTCTATATCGAATATGTTCCTTTCGCCGAGACTTACAATCTCAGCTTTACTTTTTCAACTTCATTTTTCACAACAACAATAACATCCTGGTATATTTTTACAAATGGGGTCTGGAAAGGGTAGGATGTACGTAGCCTTACCCCTACTTTGGAAGGGCAGAGAGGCTGTTTCCAAAGGACCCTCGGCTAGAATAAGATATAAAAAGCACTGATAGCAAATAATAATAATACAGAATATTAAGAAAACTGAATCCAAGATAGCAAAGTCTATATGAAAGAAATACGTATCACAAGTAATAACAATGCTAGATATATGGTGATATCAAACTAAAGGAATACTTATGGCAAGTACTAACAATACAAGATATATGAAAATAGCAAACTAAGGGTAAAAGGGATACCATACTAACACTAATACAAGGGGAACGCTCAACTACATACTAACGTTCTACCCTAATTCTCAACCCCCACACTCTCCTATCAAGGGTCATGTCCTCAGTAAGCTCCAGTTGCGCCATGTCCCATCTGATCACCTCTCCCCAAGACTTCTTCGGCCTTCCTTTACCCTTCCTCTTACCCCCTGCCCCCAGGCCAACCTCTCACACCTCCTGACAGGGCCATCTGTGTTTCCCCGCTTAACATGCCCGACCTATCTCAACTTCTCCTCTCGCATCTTTTCCTCCAGAGGGGCTACTCGTACCTTGTCCCTAATAACTTTATTCCTAATTCTATCTAACCTCGTGTGCTCACACATCCATCTCAATATCCCCATCTCCGCTACTTTCATCTGTTGGACATAGGAGTTCTTAAATGGCCAGCACTCTACGCCATACAATATAGTCGGTCTAACCACTACCTTATAGAACTTTCCTTTAAGTCTTAATGGCACATTCTTATAGCACAAGACACCGGAAACGAGCCTCCACTTCATCCACCCTGCTTCGATACGATGTGTTCCATCCTTATCAATCTCCCCATCACTCTTAATCACAGACCCAAGGTACTTAAAATTCTCTCTCTTGGGAATTACTTGCATATCAAGCCACACATGCTTGTCCGATTCCTGGGCAACACCGTTGAAATTGCACTCCAAGTATTCGGTCTTGGTCCTACTCAGTTTGAGACTTTTATACTCAAGTGTATGTCTCCAGACCTCCAGCATCTCATTAACACCACCACGCATCTCATCAATCAGAACTATGTCATCTGCAAATAATATGCACCAAGGCACCTCCCCTTGAATTTGTCGCGTCAATGCGTCCATTGCCAAGGAAAACAAAAAGGGGCTAAGTGCATATCCCTGATGCAACCCCATCTCAACTGGAAAGTATTCATAGTCCCCTTCTGTTGTCCATACTTGTGTCTTAGCTCTATCATACATGTCCTGGATCACTCGAATATACGCTACTGGCACTTCCTTAGCCTCCAAACATTTCTATAGAACCTCTCTCGGAACTTTACCATAAGCTTTCTCTAGGTCAATGAACACCACATGCAAGTCATTCTTCATCGTCCTATACTGTTCCACCAATCTCATCACAAAGTGAATGGATTCAGTAGTCGACTGACCCGATATGAAACCAAATCGTTTCTCGAAAATGGACACACTCCTCCTTATCCTCCCTTCTATCACCCTCTCCCAAATTTTTATCGTATGCCTCAACAACTTGATACCCCTATAGTTGTTGCAGTTTTAGATATCCCCCTTTGTTCTTGTACAACGGAACCATCGTACTCCACCTTCACTCTTCAAGCATCTTTTTCGTCCTAAAAATAATGTTAAACAACCTAGAGAGTCATTCCAAGCCCGCCTTACCCATGCTTTTCTAGAATTCCACAGGGATCTCATCAGGTTCGGTAGCTTTACCCCTACTCATCCTGCGCATAGCCCCTTCAACCTCCCTCACTCCTATGCGTTTACAGTACCCAAAATTTCGATGTCGCTCCAAGTACTCCAACTCACCCAGCCCTCTTCATTCAAGAGTTTATGGAAGTATGACTGTAAGGCACTTCCTATTTCCTCTCTCAATTTACGCAACACTTTAATTTTTGCTTTTATAATTACGATTTCTAGCTATTTAAGCCTCCTAAAGCTATTGTGGTAAGTGTAGAAGAAAAACGTCAACATTTTATGAATTTTGCTTCAGGGTGAATATTGTGATGCAAACTTGACCAACATAGAAGCTATATACGTCAGCAGCATGAGAAGTCCAGAAAATGCTTCTAAAAACAATATAAATCATTGAGCTAGTTATGACATATATATTGTAAGGACCCGACCGGTCGTTTTGGGCATTTAAGCTCCTTTCTATTATTTGAAGTCTTGAATAGCTTCATACGATTTATTATGACTTGTGTGAATTTTCGGTTTTAGTTTTCAGGTATTTCGGAGTTTTTTTGGAAAAAATGAAATTCAAGGTTTAAATCTTAAGTTGAAAAGGTTGATCGGATGTTGCCTTATGTGTAAACGACCCCGGAATCGAATTTTGATGATTCCAATAGCTCTGTATGTTGATTTCGGACTTAGGAGCATGTTCAGAAATTTATTTGGAGGCGCGTAGCTAAATTAGACTTGAAATGGATAAAATAGAAATTTAAGTTTGTAAGTTTAACCAGAGAGTTGACTTTTTGATATCGGGTCAAAATTCGATTCTGGAAATTAGAATAGGTTTGTTATGTCATTTATGACTTATGTATAAAATTTGAGGTCAATCGGACTTGATTTGATAGGTTTCGGTATCGAATGTAGAAGTTGGAATTTCTTAGTTTCATTAGGCTTGAATTTGGGTGAAATTCATATTTTTAGCGTTGTTTAATGTGATTTGAGGCATCAACTAAGATTGTATGATGTTTTAGGACTTGTTGGTATATTTGGTTGGGGTCCCGAGGGACTCGGGTGTGTTTCGAGTGTTATAGGATCATTTTGGTCTACTTTGTTGGTGGTTTTATGATGCCTGATGTTGTTCTTCATGTTCGTGAGGAGCCTCTCGCGTTTGCGAAGAAGGATTTTGCTACTGGGACTTTGTTCTTCGCGTTCACGAAGAGACTCTCGCGTTCGCGAAGAAGGAATTCTTGTTGTCCGTTGTCTGACTTTGGAACCTTATATCTCACTATCTATAAGGAATCAATAGATGATCCAAAAATAAACGTTGTATCCCTCGGTGTCTACTTTTTAGAAAGTTAAACAATTTGTTATTTGGATTTGTGCACAAAATATTATGGCGGATACACTACATGATTTCTGGGAAGAGTTTGGAAATCTCTGATGCACATGGCTGATTTTGGAACCATATATCTCGCAATATATAAGGAATTCAGAGATGATCAACAAATGAAAGCTATAGCCCATGATGTATAGTTTTCAGAAAGTCAAATAATTTGTCATTTGGAGTTTTGTACAAAATGTTATGACCATTATACTAGAGGCTATCTGAGAAGAGTTTGGAAATGGCTTTTGAGAATTTTGTTCATCGCGAACGCGATGGGAGGCTCGCGAACGGAAGAAGGAAGTCGCGGTAGTGTTATAAGTCCTCTGTTTCGGACCTTTGAGCCATTATTTTGTATTTTTAGTTGGGAACCTCGGGATTTAGCGATTTTGGAGAGAAATTTCACCAAACAACATGGGGTAAGCATTCTTGACTCACTTGTGATTATATTTCATGGATTAATCTTCAATTTCGGCGTTAGATTATTGATTTTTCAAGAAGAAATCGGAAGAAATTTCTATAATTTAACAAAGCGAATTTTCGAGTTTTGAATACCGATTCAGAGTCGGATTTGAATGAAATTATTATGGTTGAACTCGTAATTGAATGGGTTGTTGGAATTTTGTGAGTTTCGTCGGATTCCGAGACATGGACCCCACTGTCAACTTTGCGAGCTGAGTTGAAATTTTTTATAAATTGTTAATTTGTAAGCATTGGAGTAAATTGTGATTTATTTGCAGGTTAATTGAAAGATATGGATCGTTTGGCTTGAATTGAGTAGATAGGAAGGCGTATGGAGGTTGATACGCACGGAATGGAATTTTCAAGGTATTGTTTAGCTTGCTCGTCATCGGATTCGGCTTGTTCGAGGTAAGTAACATTTCTAAACTTGGTTCTGAGGGTATGAATCCCCGAATTTTGTGTTATATAAATTGTTTGGAGGTGACGCACATGCTAGGTGATGGGCGCGTGGGCGTGTACCATAGAAACTGTGACTTGAATAAATTTCATGGAGTTATAAAATTAAATCATGTGGATACTCGTATTAAAGATCATGTTTAAGCTACGTGCCGATATTTTTGGGACCCCTAGGGTTGTATTGCTGTTGAATTTAATTGTTTTTAAAATGTACATTTCATACTCAGTCATGTTCATCAATTGTGATAATATTTATGGGATCGGGGATGTCCGCCTGCGGCAGGCCATATTGGCTTTATATATATTATTATTATATGGAACGGGGTTGCCCGCCTGCAGCAGGCCATATCAGCTTTATATCACGCTTGGGCTGAAGGAGCCCATCCGGAGTCTGCAGCCCCCACAGTGAGCATAGAAGATTTTTATTGAGGGATGGACCTTCCTTGGATATAGATCTTGTCTGAAGCATTTATATTGAGGGATGGATCTTCCCTGGACACGAATCTTGTCTGAAGCATTTATACTGAGGGATGGATCTTCCATGGGCATGGATTTTAGCCGAATAATTTATATTGAGGGATGGATCTTCCATGGGCATGGATTTTAGCCGAATAATTTATATTGAGGGATGGATATTACCTGGACATGGATCTTGTCCAAATCATTTATATTTGGGGATGGATCTTCCCTGGGGCTGGATTGACCTTATACAGTACTGAGTGACTGACTACAGTCGATGTGTGTGTGTGTGTGTGTGTATATATATATATATATGGGATGAATCTTCCTTGGGTTGGATTGGCCATATACAGTACTGAGTGATTGAGTATTTTGAGATTTAAGTATACAAGGTTTCCACTAAAGTGCATCACATACAGTATGTACATTGTCATATAGATATAGAGATGTCATATTCCTCATATCATTTAGAATTGAGCTATTTTACTTATACTGAGTTTAACTGTTGAACGTGAAAGCATGCCTACATTTATGTACTGTTATTTTATATTGGACTATACCTGCTGAGCTCGTCACTACTTTCAGCCCAAAGATTAGTCTTGTTACTTATTGAGTACATAGGGTCGGTTGTACTCATACTATACTTCTGCACCTTGCGTGCAAATTTCGAATGTTGATGTAGCTGCGTACGGCGAGAGCTGGATATGAAGATGTATCTGTGTCCTAGTTATTGATGCCTCTTGTTCATGGTAGCTTTAGAATTATAATCTGTTCATGTATAATTCAAACATATGACATATTTTTATTTCACACCATCTTTATAAATTCTAAATCTTAGAAGCTCATGATTTGTACTACCAGTATTTGGAAAGTATATTAGAGTCAGCTAAATATGAATTGAATCGGATTGTGTTATTTGGCTTACCTTGAGGGTGAGGTTAGGTGTCATCACGACTAGTTAGATTTTAGGGTCGTGACAAGGTGGTATCAGAGCCCTAGGTTCATAGGTTCTACAAGTCACGAGAAAGTGTCTAGTAGAGTCTTGCGGATCGGTATGATGACGTCCATACTTATCTTCGAGAGGCTACAGGGCATTTAAGATAATTTCCCATCTTTCTTATCTTATCGTGCAGAATTGATTCAGCTTGAAGTATAACTCTTTGAATTTCTTCCACACATTCGTGTGCGCATGTGAGTGCTCTTTATCATCTATGCATCACCGACTTATGATTCTATGAATGAGGTTCGAGATGTGTATTCTGTATTTTGGTGATGGGCCAGTCTAGAGTAGTTGAGGCCAAGTTTAGACCGCAGCTTAGGCTCGGTTGCTTGAGTTGTGTGAACTTGTACATTTGGATTCATATGTCCGGTAATATCCCTATGAGTGGAATTTGTGGCTCGATGAGCGGTTTAATGGCTATATGATAAGTATGATGTGGCTGCGGGATGTGTTTAGATGGTTTGAATGTAATGAGAAGTGTCTTCTTGAGATGTAAAAAAGGGGAGGGGGGCATTGGGTGCTTGATTTTTTGTTTTTGATGTATAGTCTCGAGTTATGAGTGTGTTGAAGAAAATTTCACGTTGTTAAATTGTGGGACAA